GCTGCCGGCACGTTCCGCACGCGCTGCCGCCAGCCCTGGCTGAACATGCCGGCCTTCTCCTCTGTGCTGACAAACCTGGTAACAGGCAGAGCGCGCAGGGCTGCGTGCTGGGCCGGCTGGAGGGGATCCTGCGAAACGGCACGGAGAGCGCTGCAGCCTGGGCTCGGAGGGCGAAGCACGAAGCGAGGCAATTGTAGGCAAGGCTGAAATATGAAGCGCTGCTGCGCATCGTGAGGGTGCACGTGTGACTAGGCGGCCTTCCTCCCGCAAGGCTTCAACGCGGCCTTCTCGGGGAGTGAGATGTAAAGACATCTGATGAGTGTACGCTCAACTGACTAAAAAACCTGATAAATGCACATTATCCTTCAGCATTCCCATAACAACCAAAGGACTGGCATCAGGCTTGTGCTTATTCTTCCAATCTGCAGAGGAGCAATGAGACTCTTAAGTAACTAGGGTTGATGAGAGGAATAAAGACTATGATTCACTAGATGCGCATAAATTCAGAGCATACATCTGCCCTTTCCTCAGTCTTCTGCGGCACTTTATAACAATGTTTAGTACCACTTTGTCACAGATTTGGTACACAAACTGTCACCAAGCAGGCAGAGGGTGAAACGAGCAACGCGATCGTGTGCGTGTGGGGAAGCGATTCAGCTGTACCGGGCTCAGTGCTGGGTCAGGCAGCAGCACCCTTAATTCTATTTCCTCTTCCCCCAAAAGATCATTTTGTGGTAAGAACAGTACATTGAGACCTGTCCCCGCAGGCTTGAACCTGCTAGTCGTTACGAAAATCCGATGTCGCCTGTCCTGGCGGTGAGGGGCAGCTGGGGAGGTTTTGAAGAACTGGAGCTTTGGGCCAGCAGAAGAGGAGTTTGAGATTCATAATTCAGGTATCGTAATTCCATAATTCAGATTTCTTAATGAACAACCATCCTGGAGACTGCCAGACTAAATCAGTCTTTAAAAGTGTAAATTTAGTTATCAGGTAAGCTACACAGTAAGGATTTTAAACCCATGCAAATTAAAACTAAACTGCTAGAACATTTCCTTAACTGAAATCCTGAGAGGGAAGGGGAAATGTGATCACCCAGATCAAGCAGACACGGCGGAGGGGGACATCTCTGCGAAACGCATGCGCTTTAGCGGGATGCGAGCACCGCTGTTCCTGCAGCTTCGGACACTGTAATCAGAACCAGGGGCCAGGGCTCAGGGCTCAAATGCCCATCTAACACTTGAAACCAAGGAGTCCGATCTGTTTTCCGGGACTTCAGACCCAGCTGCACAAGGCACAGTTTTCTGCTCTACCTCTCTCACAGAAACAGTCCCCTCGGAACAAGATTTCTGTTCTACAGAAGGACTTGGAGACAAAGTGACACCCCATTAAAACCAGCAGGAGGACGCGTGCAGAATCTGCAGGGATGCTCCCTTCAGTGGAATACATTCGGCGCGCTACAGCTCAAGTAAATTAGCTAGTGAGCACGTGCGTGCCATGAGCAAGCGCCTCCTTAAAATTGCTTCGCGTTATTCAGATACCTGCAGTTACAGCTCGACTGCTAAATAATTCACCGTCTAAAGGTATGTCAATACACGTTTGCAAGGTAAGGCACAAGGAGATCCAAAGAATTTAGAGGATGGCAAACGACCTCCAGCGTTGGACGCTAAGACGCAACCCTAAGCTGCTGGCGTTGGAGAGGACTGGGATGTTTACAAGGAATTCCAAGGCTGGGAAATGGAAAACGTGACACAGCACAGAAGCCCAGAGGATCAAGTTTAACCCCAATCCAAAAGGAGCCTGAAACCTGTCCTTAAAGCGCCGTGGAGCCAATGGCCTTTCGTAGCCCCCAGAGCACGCACCGGGGCTGGAGAAGCAGCGCGTTTTGACGTTCGCTTAGAATCATAGAATGTTTTGGGTGGGAAGGGACCCCTAGAGGTCATCGAGTCCAACCCCCCTGCAGGAGCAGGGACACCACTAACTAGATCAGGTTGCTCACAGCCCCGTCCAACCTGGCCTTGAATGCTTCCAGGGATGGGGCCTCCACCCCCTCTCTGGGCAACCCCTACCAGGGTTTCACCACCGTCATTGTAAAGAATTTCTTCCTTATATCTAGTCTAAACCTACCCTGGTTTAGTTTAAAACCATTACCCCTTCTGGTGTCTAATGAGGAGCTCAAATGAAGTCAGTTCTCAGACGGGTGACGTTTTAATAAAGAGCGGAATCGGCTACCATATTCCGAGAAGTTTTCAGCACGTACTTGTTTGCTTAAGTGTATCTCTCGTTAAACTGAAATCTGGGAAGCGAGGGGGTGTGGGTCTCCTCAGTATCTGGTGCAGTTCAGCTGCAGTCAGCATTTCACCGGTTGCCCCCAAGCCCTTCTCGAGCGAACGGCCAGGCCTGCGGATGTACCTTCCCCACGCAATCCGACTCAGGAGTGTCACCCCAACGTATTCACATTGCTTTTATTTAGGTCTTCTGCCAACAGTTACAGGGTAACAGACACTTGGGACTGCAAAGTCAAAGTTGCAAGCAAAAATCAGGACCAAGGCAAAAAAAAAAAAAAAAAATTAAAAAAAAAATATCCACAAAGGCAATCAAATCAAATCAAATATAAATACAATGTTCTGGAGCTCTTTAATCATACCGTTTTCTTTAATAAAGAGGTGGTTAGGATCTTACAGTATTTTCTTTTGGCCTAATCCAAGGATTTTGTTACTCTTTACCAGTCTCAACTCCACGCATACAAAAAAAAAAATTTGATATTCAACCTTTAAAATATAAGCCATATTTTCTTAATAAAATAAGTTTTGTGCTGCTGCTTGTTTAGTTAAGTACTGTACATCAACTGCTCACGTCTATTTAACAAATGGACCATACAGAGTTCAAGCTAAAGCAAAAAAAAAAAGAAAAAAAAAAAAACCAAAACAACCAAAACCCACAAGAAAAATAACAACCCAAAAAGAGTGTCCTATGAACACCCCGCGTACAGTTCAACACTTGCTCATATAAAGGAGGTACGAAAGGGGCTAGAAATCAAACACAAAAGCACTGGAGTCCCGTAAATTTTTTTTCACAACTATTGAAGTGCAAATCACTCAGGCAAGATATGAATTTCACTTGTTTATTGCTGTCCTGCTGTCTGGCTTCCCTTCCTGAAAGAATCACATGCTTTTACTTCACGCTAATTTTCCAAGAAGAAAACCTTCCGCGAGGCAACGTTGAATGCTTGGGCTTTTTGAGACTAAGACATCAGGCCGTTCGCTTGCGAGTACCAGAACACCCCGACCGCCCCAGAAGCTCTGGGGAGAGGGCTGCTCTGCCCTCTCGCCCCCGTTACGTTCAGATGGGAGGTAACAAAACAAAGAGCATTCAACAACTGACAGGTAAATGACAGCTACTCCTCTTCCCACACAACTGCATGCACCTGGCGATGTTTCCAGTTGCAGAAGGAACACGTGCGCATGGAGAAGGCAGAGACTCGGGAGCCATTCGGGATGTCCGCGTGGGGTTTGTGGCTAACTACAAATCCTGATATGTATCTGGGTTAACACCTATCCGCTATGGGTAGCAAAATGCACAGCACCTCAACATGCAGAGATTCGTTGGCATCTCGGGACAAGAAAAGGGTAGAAATGCTGAATGCTGGAGCCGCGTAAAGGTACAGTGCATAGTCCATTATACAAAACATGCGGGTAACTCAAACCCCTCCTAAATTTCTTCGAAATGGAAATAGGGTTTAAAGGGCACAGCAGCTACTGAGTTTGGCTTTTTCATTTATTCAAAACCATGAAAACCCAACGCAGAGGGTGAAATAAGGGCAGAACAGGATCTGCAAGTCAACAGCTGAGAGTTTCAGAAGCTGTGAAGCTTTTGTGTAGTTAAAATTGCTGTTAAAAGTAGGTGCTACATCAGCAAGTCTTCATTCATAGTTTTCTATGAACAGCCACCTTACAAATGAGTGCAAATCTTAAAGGTCCATTTTACATTTCAAGTCTCAAGGTTAAAAAAAATTGTTACAGAGCAACAAGCTGTTTCTGTAAATGCCCACAACTATCTCTTTTCAAATGGTTAAAAATGGCACGTGCCATGCCACAGCTACTAAAAGACATTTCGGAATTCTAGACCCAACTAAAACACTAAAATAAAAACTAGAAACCAAAATACCTTCGCCCCTCGCTGCAGAACAGCAGCCAGGTGCTTCCCGTTGTAATGCTGGTGAACAAACTGATTTGCAGCGAGAACCTCGACCTTAACCCCGGTTTTATTCTTAACGAGGGGCTCTCTAACACAAGTTGAGCGGGTACAGCCCCTCTGAGATCATTTTGCTTTCAGTGAACACAAGCCAGAGTTCTGAGGATGAGATGGAGAGGTGCTGAATTTGTGTCACTATGCAGGCACTTGTGTACAGGAATGTAGGCTTCTCATGTTGACACTTAGTGTTGACGCGTTCCCTACTCTCTAAAAGCCTTCCTAAGAGTTCACTACCCTACTGACCATGAATAGTTCCTGGTCTCCTCCCCGTCACCTTGCAGATATACAGCAGTGGAGGTTGACACAAGGTGCAAAGGAGAGTATGAACCAAATACTGTAGTCTTGAGGAAAAATAGGACTGTGCTAAACGTAGGATCTTCACAAAACGTGACATCAGTGGGCTCAGCACTTAGTTTGCATAGCATATTGATGTCTTCATTTTTCACAAACACGTTGCCCAAAAAGAAAATGGGTAGAGTGAATTCCCGGTGTTAGGACAGATCAAAGGGCCAACATGACCAACGCGGTTTTCATGAAGGCAAGGCAAGTTTAAACATCAGAAAGTACAAAACGCAAAGGTGTGCTTCTGTCCACGCGTGCTGACAGGGGCAGCGCTTGTGGTGGATCTGCCTCGGAAACGCGTTCACGTTTGGCAGTAAAATGACAACAGAGCTCTCCCCTTTAAGAGCTCGGCAGGAGTGTGCGCGTCATTTTTTCTCTTGAAGGAAGCGCTGGGCACACTTTCATGGGGGGGGGGAAAAAAAAAAAAAAAAAAAAAAAAAGAGAACCAAACAGATAATCTGCCCCCGCGATACTGGTGATGAGTTGCTACTACTGCCCCGCTGTGCGTAACGGCCATTCTGGGCAGCAAAATGAGTCCGAAAAGCAGTCACTACGATACTGTGGGGAAAAAGGCTTTTTTCCTGTTACAAACACAAATCAGTAGGAGTTTCCCCCATGACAATAAGAAGGATTTCATCATTCTGACTAAGGAACAAATCTGGTGTGCTTTCAGAATAAAAAACCCTGTGCATGAGATCAGTGATATCATGACACAAAGAGCAGCAAAACCTAGCAGCAGAGAGGGTGACAGTTTGGAGGTGCTGGAGCTGGGGTACGTGGTACTTCAGAGAGCGGCCGACCCGGGCAGGCGCGTGCCGAACGCACACGGGAGACGGGCGCTGAGGAGTACCCGGCGCTGCACGGGCTGCAGTTGGTAACACTCATCGGACAGGAAACGTTGGAAAACTCTGGCGTGAGCGCACAGCCTCAGGAAGTGCGGTGGATGTAAACTCTGAGAATGTTAATGACTCGTGTATTTTGGCAACAGACTCGGTATCATATAAAAATAATGTTTAGTAAAAAAATCCCGGTGTCCATCATAAAAATTCAGGAAAAAAAAAAAAAAAAGAAAAAAGAAAAAAGGAAAAAAATTGATAGCGATTTCTGTCCTCTGCCCATGAAGATGCCCCCATTTGTCAGAAACAGTTTTAAATAACAAGTAGTACATTGGAAACAAAAATGGGTCAGCAGCCATTAAACGTGTCCTATATGAAAGTGCACATCTTTCAATGGAGTTTAACCACCATGAGGTCGTGATCTAACACAAACTGCAACTTAGGACCATAGAAATTAACTCCTTCAGATGGAAATATGGACCACCATCAAGACAAGATTACTGTTTTCCTTACAAGATTAAAAACATTGAAATTTTGCAGCATCATAGTAAGGCACTCACCCATGGAAAAGTCTGTGACTGTTGCTTCAAATGGCAGCAGCTAACTAGCTTTTAACACAAGGAAGACAGTTTTCAGTTCTGAGCTAAGTGCTAGGGTGCCTTACATTATATGGGGGGAATTATTTGGGGGTGGGGAACTGTTAGTGTTAGAATTCTCCTATAAACTAGTTGTTTTTCCCCTTAACCCATTAAAGCATCTCATATTCTAAAATATTAGTTTTATAAATCTAGTCTTCTGTTTTAAGGCTCTAAAAATCCCCTCCCCCCAACCCCCACAAAAAATACCTACCAGCGCCTGGTGGGCAACGGAGGACCAAATCCGCCATTTCACAGTCAGGAGTCTATAGTATTGCATCTTAAAAATGAAAACCTGCTTCCGCCTCCTGGGAGTCTTATCCCTTCCTTGAATGCCTTCGTGTGTTTGGTCAGGTCAAAATTTTGCAAAGCCAGAAAAATTAAAAAAATAATCATCAGTCTCTTCCAATCCTACAAAGGTGTTGGATCTTTCTGTCCCGTGGTGCTGGTCTCCTGCCTCGAATCGACGCTGCCTGCCCTGCAGTGATTTCTCATTGGAAAATAAACAAGGTGTCCCAATGCTTCCTTTTTTGTATGGCTCCTACAAATCTGAAAGCTTTCTTGAGTGAGGTAACAAAAGTTAGGCTTTCAAGCAAAGTACATGGTACGTAAAGTGTCCTGATGAACCTGCACAGCCTTCGCCAAGGCCTGGGGGTCTCTGCCGTTGCTCTGTCCAGATATATGGCTGCCCTCGCCACTGAAAATCAAGGAAATCACTGCATAATTATTTCATATTCCGCCCCCCCAGGAACACTGAGAAACCCCCTCGGAGATCAGGGGCCGCGAGTGCTGGCAGCACAGGAAAGCATCTCACTGCAGCGAGCGGGGATGCTGCACGTGCCGGTGGCCGTGCCCGGTGCCGCAGAGATTCTGGCACCAAAAGGTGGCCGGAGACACTCAAACACCCCAGGGATGCTCCTCCAGGCCCAGGATGGGATTTAGCCCTCCTTTACCCCCAAGTTGTTCCTCCTAGGCTGGGACTTAAGAGGATGCAGCTATGTGTGGATCAACACCACCCCACCCCCCAAAAAAGGGTCTGCTGCCGCGCTGCCCTGACAGAGGCATTTCCAGACGCCAGGGCAGGGAGCTCGTGCCCCCTGCCCACGGCTGGGGTCTGCCCTCCCGGCAGAGCCCCCTCACCTGTCATGCTCCTTATCCACGAGATGGTACCGCGCTCTGAACGCCACCAGTCGGGCGTAGTACGCCGGGGCCGGGATGGAGACCGAGCGGGTGCAGCGCACGTAAGTATGGCACAGCTGGTACGTGAGGATCTGCAGCTCATCCGCGGTGAACCGGTTGTCATCCCAGAGTACGTAGTAATGGGACGGCCGGCTGGTACCCTGGGAAGGAGAGGGGCAGCGTGAGAGGTGCTGCTGCACCCCGACGCAGGCAGCTGCCTCGCGTCCCCATCACCCCCTCCCTGATCTGAACAGCCCGGCAGACAGCCTGGGCAGGAGAGATGCCCGTGCTTCCCTAATTTGAGAACCCCACGTGTGCACAGGCACCGGGAGAGGCAGGAAAGCCCTCAGCGCCGAGGTGCAAACCATGAACG